AATGCCAACGGAGAATGAAAAATGCAACTCATTTAAAATTATCAGGCGTAATTGGTCAGATTATTAAAGCTCAAAGCTAAAACTAAAAGCAAACAAAGTGACTGTATGTAAATGAAAGTATAATTTCTCCAAAAAGGATATTCCTGTACAAATAGAGGATGGTCAGAGCCTGCTTCATACCATGCAGACACGGGGAGAGAAAACTCTGACAAATTTCTTGGTATTGGGTCGAGACACCATCCGGCAAAACCTTCACTACGATTATGAAACTTTGACAAAACGACTCACAGATACCAAGGGCACATTAGAGAGCTGTCTGCTGGAGTTGTCACAGTATGGTGACTGCACAGATCAGGTGAGAATGAGTATCTTTATTCCAAAAAGAAATGATGCTTATTAAGTGAGCTTTGGAACACTGATTTTGAGGAAAAACACTGAAGATTTACAATTTTTAAACTAACTCTTTATATGACTTGAAATAAGAAACAATTGAGGCACAGGGTGAGCCAAAAATGTTATTCTTAACAAATGTTAAAAACTAAGTCATTCAGCATTGTTTAAGATCATATTTATCACCATTAAACCTTTTCAATTTTCTTCATCTTAGAAGTATGGCTATATTATACTTAAACTGAAGGCATTTTAGATTAGATCACAATTATGGTATTGTTTTTCTGATTCTTGTCTCAGAAAATTAAAAATGGCTGGAATAGGCCATAACTTAGAGATATGATACTACAATGATCTATTCATTGAAGGGAAGAGTGCGGTGGTATATATTACATTGTGACTGTACAGTTCATGATTTATATATGTTCGTTGGGATTCCCTACGCCTTGGGTAGAGATTAAAACGTGGATTGGATCGAGTGGATTGGATTCATGTAAAAGGTGGATTGGATCGGGAATCTTCAAAATGTGGAATTTCTTATAAAAACAATTCTGTTGATCTCCCTCTAAACAATTTCCCTCTACAGTATTACAGGTCCCTTTTGAGAAATCAGAACAAAGCAATGACAAATACATACTCAAATTAGTTCATGGACACTCTTAAGTATTTAACCGCTTTCCCTTGTAAATCAACTTTTGTAAGACATAGATCTTTAGAAAAAGAAAACCTGTCATTCAAATTAATTTGTGAATGTTCACAAAACATTTCTGGTATGTTCAGTTTGGATTGAAAACAGATGCTATGGATCTTCAAACCAGTCTGCCTTATGATTTATGAAATGTCTCAAATTACACTTGGAATGAATAAGATCGTGTATGAGAAAGCGGGAACCAGGTCATCCTTCTAGCCCACCCAAGCAAAATAATATTACATCTATAATTTGACATTGTGCAAGTGAAGAGACCACCAATCTTCCTAAAGGGAGATCAATAGAATTTTTTTATAGGAAAATCCATATTTTGAAGATAGCCAATCCAATCCACCTTTTACATGAATCCAATCCACTCGATCCAATCCACCTTTTAATCTTTACCACGCCTTGGAGTTGCCAATTTCTAGTTGTAAATTGTGAATTGTAGGTTCTACAACATGAGTCAGAACATCCCCAGGTTCTACAACAACATGCGTCAGAACATCCCAAGGTTCTACAACAACATGATTCAGAACATCCCAAGGTTCTACAACAACATTAGTCAGAACATCATCAGGTTCTACAACAACATGAGTCAGAATATCCATTACCAGGTTCTACAACAGCATGAGTCAGAACATCCCCAGGTTCTACAACATGAGTCAGAGCAATGCATCCCCAGGTTCTACAACAACATGCATCAGAATATCCCCAGATTCTACAACAACAGGAGTCAGAACATCATCAGATTCTACAACAACATGAGTCAGAATATCCATCACCAGGTTCTACAACAACATGAGTCAGAACATACCAAGGTTCTACAACAACATGCGTCAGAACATCATCAGGTTCTACAACAACCCGAGTCAGAACATCATCAGGTTCTACAACATGAGTCAGAGCAATGCATCCCCAGGTTCTACAACAACATGCGTCAGAATATCCCCAGATTCTACAACAATAGGAGTCAGAACACCATCAGGTTCTACAACAACATGAGTCAGAATATCCATCACCAGGTTCTACAACAACATGAGTCAGAACATCAGCAAGAGGTTCTCAGGGGTTGTCAGTTCATGATTACAGAAGAACTACCGCTTGATGTTGGTAGTATAATAACAAAACTGTATGACAGGGATGATTTTGAAGCTTTGTGTTTACAGATGAAGAAGCTCTCTACATTTTTGCTATGTGTTACAAAAAGTACACCTTTTCAAAATCATCTTAATGTTCATTGGGACAATGGCCTGGTAGTATACAGGAAAATACTTTTGTCTTGCTGCTTTGTTTGTGCGCAAGATCTCGAAATATTGATGAAATAGTGATTAGTAGAATTTATTAAGTAAATTGATCAGAATTATTTGAATTTATAGTACCTACGAAAACATATATTTGGTGAAAAATATCACTCTTGATAGCTAATACATTTTTATAGTCTCAGAGTGTTATTTAGATGGAAATCGGTGTTTGTTTCAAGGTAACACTGAATGTGTGCAAACCATCTTTTGTAGAAATGCCTTGTTAAGATATTCATTTGCAATAACTTTGTAAAGAACATGTAGTCATTTAATAAGGGAAATCTTAAATGGATGAATTGTGGTACCCCAATAAAAATGGTGGAGAGTATAAGATTTCTACTTGGCGAATGAATATGAACACTGTTATTTCAATACAGGATTTATCATACAGAGAAAGTGGAGATTGGTTAGCTCATTACATTTGGAAGATCTTTAAGATATTCAATTAATGGTTCTTACACAGTGAGCCTCTGAGAATAACAAGGCGTCTGTTGTTGGTAAACATTGGATTTCTTCTAAAAATTCAAAAATTGAAGTAGCATTAAGCGGTTCTGGTGTTTATTGTATTTTTGAGTTTTTGAGGGCTTTCATTGACATTTAGTCATGGGGTTATGGAAATTGTTTTTTCTTGTCAAATTTAACCAGTAATTGCATTATTCATTATGTAGGCATTTTAGTTTATGTGGACATACCTGAATCGGTGCATTTTCTGTGGTGTTATTGCCAACTCAAGGGTATGATATTGAGAAAAATATCGACGATGATCCTTTTAGCTGTGATCACTTTGGTTTTCATACTCTACAGCTACTACTTTTATCTGCATTAAACATGTTGAAAATCATCACTCACTATAATATATCAATTAGTTCTGTTAATCAAAACAATGTGTTAATATTGAGACAAAATTCAATAAAAAAAGTCACATTTGCACTCATTGGAATTGTGCGCTCATTAGAGATAATATTACAGGTTTATGTATTACATTTTTTATATCTTATATACTTCAGGCCCGTAGCCAGGATTTGCCAAGGGGGGGGGGTTCAGTTTTCAAAAATTTCCAGGGGGGGGTTCACATTTGACAATTTTGGCCCAAATATAGCTAAAATTACTTGAGAAGTGCTCAAAATGGTGAAAAACTGCATGATTTTAAAAGAATTTTTGGCCAGGGGGGGGGGGGGGGTTCGCCCGAACCCTGCGAACCCCCCCCCCCCTGGCTACGGGCCGTCAGTAAAACCTGTTTTAGTGCTGACCTCTCTCTAGTTATCACCACTTAAGAGAGATTTCACATCGACTCCTGTATATAATCCCATCTAGTTAGAAAATACCTATCGTGAACACTTTTTGTGGCTCAATAGGTGTTCACTATTTACAGGTTTAACAGTATTTGAATTTATTGGAATATATGTAAATGTGCCTTTATTTGTGATCGATGTACAATGGACTTGATCTTTCAATACTGAATGCATACATTTTTGGCTTTTGCAAAATATATATTGTAACTAGTCCACAGTAGGGGCAATAGGAATTAGCCACATCCAAAAATGGAGATAAAATTAATGTTAATGTTCAGGATTGAAGTGAGTCAACAGGTATATGCATAATTATAAAACTTTATAAATCGCTTGATAAAATGAATAGTCACATGGGTTGACCTTGAAATGGCATGTGTAAATAGTTATTTGCAATAGAAATAAATAAATCCGTACATCAAACTTTCTTTATTAGTTTATTTGATCCAGACTTGAATACAGCATCAACTTCAAATACTTCAATGTAGTTCAAGGCCAGCTATTATCAGAAATTATAACATTAATTAAAACCTCATCTAATCCCAAATACCTTTGAACACGTAAACTTGAACACATAAGGATTCCAACTCCTAATTGCTATAGCCAATTCATCTTTGAATTTCGAGAACAAATTTTATTCTATTTTGAGAGCCTATATCGGCATGAATTCACACTGACAGAAAGGTAGAAGGTCGGGCAATTAATCCAATTCATGAATACCAAAAGGATGCTACATCCCGGGTTTAGAGTGTTTTGCATTTCGTTCAGTTTAAGTACGGGTCAAGGGATGCAGAATAAATGAGTCGGAGGATGATATATCCCCTGGGTTTTATACAGCATTTTATTGTTGTTTAAATCTGGGCTGTAGCCGGGATTTGACGGGGGGTCATTTTTATTTTTATAAAAATCCAAGGGATTCACTTTTGAAATGGCCCAAAACCCTTGAAAAAGTGCTCAGAATGGTGAAAACTGCATGGTTTTGAAAGCATTTTTGGTAGAGGGTCCTGGCCTGTTACATAAGTTTTTTAATGATAGATTCAAACTGATAGCATGGTCGGTCATACGGGGGTCCTATCCATAAATACTCTGATAGGACGCTGTCCCGGGGTTTTCGTGTCGTTTCGTTCAGTAAATAGCACTGGTTGCGAGACTATTTTAGTACGTGTTTCGTATTCATAATACTCTGATAGGACGCTGTCCCGGGGTTTTCGTGTCGTTTCGTTCAGTAAATAGCACTGGTTGCGAGACTATTTCAGTACGTGTTTCTAGCACGGGTTTTAGAAACCCGGGTTTTGTCAGTGTTTGCCATCGACCCTTTCTCAAACTTCCGACCTGATAAGGCATAAATGTAAAAGTTGATAGCGCTGTTGCTGAGCCAAATCATCACAGTTACAGAATTTAGCAACATACGACTTGCTTTACTCCAGGCAATATTTTCTACAGAGATGACATTCTCTATAATTTCCCGGATTTAGAACGGCGAAGTGAGCACAATGAAGGCAATGGAGACAGCTACCAGCATGCGTGTCACCTGTCGGGCTTGATAAGATCTACATCTACGTAACGTGCTCCCAATATCCTTAAGTGTGTCCAACCTGCTCGCCCGTGAGAGAGTGTTGATAATTTTTGCGTTCAATGCGACTAATACCACGAATGGTAAAATCGTAGTCAACGCCATTGACAGCCAGAGGTACACTTTTGCGATCAAAGCATCCGAATTGAATGTATCGCAAATTACTGTACCCGCTATCTTTTTGGTGTACACATAGAACGGGATATTGAATGCTACCATGGATATGACGATGCCAATGATAGCCTTCCGTGTGCGGTTAACTGATGAGAATCGCCTTACGTTCATTGGCGACGTAACTGCCAAATACCTATCCAATGTCATTGCTATGATGATAAAAACGGAGCACCCAAAATTTGTGCTCGAGATGTATTTTCCCCATTTGCAACTGCCATCAGATTGCATACTAAATTGGTGCAAAATCCAGCGGTAAAGACCAGGAACGAGAAGGCCAATTATGTCAAAGACTGCCAGAGCTCCCATGTAAAGTGAATAAGATTTATTCCTGTTATGCCTTTGAGTGCTCACGGCAATGACCATGAGGTTACCCGGAACACCGACTCCGAGGAGGACAAACAGCCCATAGAAGTTAATGGCGCCGGCTATTTTTAACTCTGGATGGACGGATGGGTCGAAATCACTTGTTCCATTAGTTATATTGTTCATTGTAGGTCGCCTTGGATGTAGACTGTGAACAAACGTACGAACTCACGATCTTGTTGCCGAATTATTTTCGTCGCAGCCCTTTAACAAGATGACGCTGCATCTATAATTAAAGTAACAGTAAAATAATTGAAAGTATAGCAGGAATATGAACAGAATCTTTACATATAGTAAAAAAATAATACAAGTAATTTTGGTTAGACGTATTTTTTGCATTTAAAATGCAGAGTGGGTCAAAAACACATGGATGAAGTGAAATGTATTCCAAAGACAGTGAGAAAAGATTTATGTAAATCATATTCATATACATGTATTTCGTATTGTACCTATGAAAAGGTATGATATTGTCGTCAGCTTGGCGGGCGGGGGCGGGGGGTGTCTCACTTAATTCTTGTCAGCGGGTTGCGTACTTGCGTCTCACTTTCTTGTCATCACGATTCTAGAAAAAACACTTGACGGATTTACTTCAAATTTTCACACATGTTACATGCTAAGAAGTTCTAGAGCTGAATAACTTTTGGGCGGCAATTGCATTCTGGAGGCCATCATGGAAGTTTTTAGATAAATCTTGTCATCGCGATTTCAGGAAAACCACTGAACGGATTTACTTCAAATTTTCACAGATGTTACATGGTAAGAAGTTCCAAAGCTGAATACCTTTTGGGCGGCCATCTTGCATTCTGGCGGCCATCTTGGGCGTTTTTAGATAAATCTTGCCATCGCGATTCCAGGAAAAGTACTTGGCGGATTTCCTTAAAATTTTCACACATATTACAAGATAAATAGTTCTAGAACTGATTAACTTTTCGGCGGCCAACTTCCATTCTGGCGGCCATCTTGGAAGTTTTTAGATAAATCTTGTCATCGCGATTCCAAGAAAACCACTTAATGAATTTGTTTCAAAACAAACACACGCATGTGTTTCTGTGGTCAAATAATTATTAGAACTTAAGTAAGAGCTGTCTAAAAAAGCTTCATAAAAAGTGTGACTTTAAATCATACCTATAGTGAAAGGAGTTCCCAGATTTAAACTACGTGTATTTTACGTTGACTTTTGTCTTCATTAGAAAGTTTATTTCAAAATGTTTGTCATTTCATTGGCGGCTATAAATGTATGTCTTATATTATCTCAACTGCTGAATATAAAATACAAATAAAAATACAATAAATGAACGTTTTTTTTTTTAATTTTTTTACCTCTCATCCATCTAGGATTTAGCCTCTCTCGTGCTGTTAAACATATTAATAGGGAGTTGAAGCTTGCATATAAAATCGAAACGTCAACTTATACGTATGACCAATCGCCCATACAAATGCATCGCTTCAATATTTTAATCCCTTCACGTTTAGGTTGTAATAAAACATTGCAAGCTTAAACTCCATATTAACTTTGAATGGCCTAGATATTTATTACTACTTTCTAAATGAAAAATAAAAAAGTTGTCTAAAAGAGAAGTTGACATAATTTTGACAATGATAATGAGCTCGCTCCTTTAACTACCTGTACATACTGTTTGTAAATAAAGTTATTAAATGAATGATTTCTAAACAAAAATTTACTAAGATATACTCACACAAGTCGGTCCCCATATGCTCTATCAGATTCGCATCATATATGTTGTTCATCTCAGATGAGATACATAATGTTGTGTTAAGTACCTCACATGTATATTGTCTTATATATTAATTGTACTTGTATTAGTTTGTGGAGCTCGACTGAAGAAGCTTATTGGTCAACTCACGTCAATATGAATATGCCGCAAAAGGTATCATGTCACCAAAGATGAGGGAACCTCGACTTCAATAGAAAATATCGAGATGACAGTCATCGCCAATTTGTCAAATTACACAGGGGGTAACAAAAACGAAATCGCGGATTGTTAACAGCCATTGATCCAGTTTTTTCTTTAATGTGGGGTTAACTAAAGAATGTTGAACAAAATTTCAGTGATTAACCCCCATTATTGAGAAACTAGAGCTTTGTGTGTCTATTTGTGACAATTTTATGGTTCCCCAAAGGTTTCGAGAATGCGATGAGCCTATTGGCAGATGATAAAGTATTAAAAATACGTTCAAAGACGACAAAATAAAACTATGTATACCTCATCTACGGATAAGAATGACGATTTTGGTAATGCATTTCCTGTTGTACGATAGGAAAATATTTATGCCAATATTCACGTCAATGCTTATGTTCATGCCAATATTCATGCCTATGTCCATGCAAATGCCTATGTTCATGCCAATGACAATATTCATGCCAATGACTATGTTCATGCCAATGGCAATGTTCATGCCTATGTTCATGCCAATACAAATGTTAATGCCTATGTTCATGCAAATGCCTATATTCGTGCCAATGCTAATGTTCATGCCAATACCAATGTTAATGCCTATATTCGTGCCAATGTTTATGCCAATGCCTATGTTCATGCCTATATCATTGCAAATATAACTCGCAAAATCTACGTTAAGTACTTTATGCAGGCTGAATAAGTCGAGGTTTAACACGAATCGGTTGAAACAATAGCTATTGTGACGTCATTCGCCGTTCATTATTGTACAAATAGTGACTGCCATTGGCAGGAAATAGTGCAAAATATTTTCCTCAAGGGAATATCCTGTCCACTGACATGTTCCCGAGGCTGCAGGCCGAGGGAACAAGTCAGTGGACAGGATATTCCCGAGAGGAAAATTTTTACACTATTTCCCTAAAATGTGGCAGTCACTATTTGTTTTATTATATACCTGATAAGTACTCTGTAAACAAAAACAAAATGAGAAGTCTTTTCATTTCAATATCAAATGTTCACAGGTTCTTATTGGCATTTAAAGGCATTTTACCTTTCAACTCCTTTAATCTCAGATTTGGGGGAAGATAAAATGTACTATTGACTGGTCACATGACCTAACTGGTGATTAGTACAATTCATCTTCCCTGAAAGCAGGGATTTAGGACTTTCCAGGGAATTAGTTCATCTATTTCATATCATGTGACCATGAATAAGCCAAAGAGCATCTAGAATACATTTGAGGTATATAATAATTGGTATTATTTAATGATATAATCGACAGGTAAAACAGCAATAAGAATATATAGAAATTATATTATGTCGAAATACATGTTAAAGGTGCAACAATTAGTGCAGGGGGGGGGGGGGGGCATTCAAATATCATCGAGCAGTGTCAAAATATATTTAAGTTTGGATATTTCACCAAGACTTACATATTTTTTCATTATCTACAAAGAAACCCCCTGGAGGAACATTATTTCAGCTGATATTCCTCTTGAAAGGTGGTGGATCTTAAAAATCTATAAGTGGGACTCCCTTTATAGAAGCTTTGAACTGAATTTACACTTGCTGAAATTTATAGTTTATACATACATTTCAAGAGCATAGGTATGTCAAAGAAGGTGTTTGACCTGATAGCTCAGAAAAAAGAAAACATTTCAAATTTTCTCTCTACAGTCCCTGTTGCCCTTTAAACGAAGACCGAAATCTTTATAGACGTCTTAAATATATTGGCGATTTCATATGTGTACCAATAGCGTACTTACAGTAACTATATCTTATATTATCATTTCATAGTATTTTGAATTGTATATTCCAGTGCAATGATATTTGCCCTGTTAGTCTGTTGAAATAAAGTACAATTTGTTCCCTGTGCATTGTTTGTCATTTCGTCCACATAATTGCTATAGCAACGAAGTTGATTCTCTTTCATAGATGACGTATTCATTACTGGAACTTTGCATTCAAATACTTTGGGGACAATACAAAAGAAAAAACAATACATTGAAGTGCGTGAAATGGGATACGGCGCATTTGTGTCATTTCAAAATGATGACTTGATCTTGGTTAGCAATGAACTTTACAAACATCGAAAATGAGGGTGCTTTTAAGATCTGTATTCACCACAGGGACTTAAAAGTTGGTGGCTACATTGAATATAAATTATAGTATTATCAATTACACGTCGCACGAAACTGGGGACAATTAGCGTAACATTATGGCGTCAAAAACCAAAACAAAACAATGAGCAGTATAGGGCGCAAACAGCCTTACAACGTCAAAAACGACAAGCGTCACATTTTTTTTAAGTTTACTCAACCTAAAAATAAAATACTTTATCCTTATCTAATCATTACAAAATTCACAGGGTAGCAAGATCTCGAGGACAATATTTCTAAAATGTTTTTGAATTTTGAAAAACGGTCAAGAAATCCATTTGGCGCGTTAGTAAAAATTGATATGTATGGAATTTGTGGTACAAAATCGATGCGTCACATTTTTTCAAGTCTCGGAAACCAGCTCTTATTTTAATATTATTTGCAAAATAAACAATCTGGTTATTGTTTTGTAAATTTCGCCATGACAATATTGTGCAGTTAATTTTTCTTTCAAATCAGACCTAAATTAGAAGGTTAAATGAAGGTAAACTTATTGCTCGTCATATTCGCCTTCAAAACCTTACACAATTTTGAAATTTTTAAAAGCGTTCTTTTTAAGATAATTTGAACTGTAGCCGTCAAGCAGTTTTGACGTCATAAATGCACATGTTCGATTGAATAAAATGTGAAATTTTAGTGGGATTTTGATCATTATTTCAAAAGTTATCCCAATTTCAACGAGCCCCGTAAGCGCAAAGTGTTACGTCTTACAGCGTATTTGACGATGTCGGGGTATATTTAACTTTAATAATATGTAGGATCCCATCAGAATTTTGAAGGAAAAATAATTTCACTGAAATGCAAATAAAAAATACTTCAAAAAGATATATAAAACACATAGTTAGCTTTTTAAATGAGGAAGAGATTAACGCTCAAAGCTGATATCAGCCCGCATTTCCCGAATTGTCCCCAGGTCCTTGCACGTCATAAATGCGATACACAGGCCTTATTTTAAAAACATGCTATTGCTTTGTGATACCGGATATAGCAATAGCAAAGCAATCACTATTGCAAACACATAGCAAACATATCGCAATTATAAAAAAAAATTAATTAATAAGCTCAGTCTCACACCTTGTCATTAGCGCCTTCTACGCCAAATAGCCAACGCAGAGGCGTACCAAATAAATTTGAAAATAAAATAATAAATTGTGATTTAACAAGTATTTGTTAAATCTGGTTTATATCACAGAGAACGGTGTCTGTCCTACCAGCCCAATTAAAAGTCTGTTGACAGATCCAATTAGGCCGGGACAATAACTTATCTTAATGCTATACCAACTGTTCTGTAGTAGTTTGGTTTACACAGTTTTTGCTTTGCATCTTGAGGAAGTCGGACGCTTATATTATATTCTCTAAAACACTTACATCTATACTATAACAGTATTTGTTAACTATATTATTTGGATTATCTAATCACTTCGTTTTTACACACGGCTGTAATATATACCATGTAATCGCGAAATCGAGGAGTTGGGAGCCGAAATGCCTCAAAGAACATCACAAACGTACTTCGAACATATAAAGGAGCGCGTGAACGCAAAAATACTAGAAAGATGCTGCATATACAGAAGCCGAACATGATAAGGACTAGAGTAGAGAATCGGTCAAAAATCGTTTGACACCTGCTTTAATAGAATATGAATGGGGCTTATACTGCAAAGACAGTCTTGCCAGAAGGGTGTTTTCTTAACGAACGTATATAACGATATCTGTTGTTGGGGTTTCACAGGAGTTACGTCTACGTTATGGTCATTCAAATCCTCTTCCTCAAGTTGAAAGCACTATTATTGACTAACGAACGAAGGAGCCTGATGTAAAGTAAGCTGCAATCTCGTCATTGGCGCTAGGCACTCCAACTAAGAATCTTTTTATCTCAGGTAATGTTATTCTCTATTGTTGCCATTTGCATTTTATTTTCCTGTTCTGCATTTCGCTTAGCGTACCACCTTGAGGATAGCTTAATATAATCTTGTGGGGAAACACGGGCTCTTCATAACATTGCAATTAGGCTCGTGTTAAATTTGATTTACAGAATATAAATTCAACAACAGCTACGATACAAGGCTTTTCCAACGTCTGACGCACATCTAAATATTTTCTTTTTAATCCATATGAACAAGGCAATCATAACCGAACAGTAGAAGAAGATCTCTTTATTTGCACATGAGAAATATTCTTCGTCTTCTTGACAATTCCATGGCGGGGTATTACTGTCATTTCTTCTCTTTTAAGGTTTGGAAATGGGTTGTATCGTGATGCCTCCCGGTCTCTAACTGACTGAACTGATAAATGCATATTGACGTCCATGTTTCTATCTGTATATTCTGAGTTTAAGTTTTAGCATTTGTATTTCTCTGAACGTTTACGAGAAGTCTCTGTTAAAATGTATAGGTCGAGTAATTACAATTAAATCTCGTCGGGACATCTGGTTCGTTCCAGAACTCCAAGTAGGTTTTCCGCCCCTAGTTTTCCGAGAACAATTATATAAAGCTGTTTTTAAGACAACGAGACCAATCAATTAGCCTTGAAATGGTTTGCATTGTCCATACTTTAGAAACATCAGTGACATTTTAAATGAACACGGCCTTGGCGATGTTACATTCAGAAATGACTTGGAACGGTATTAGATCATTCTGATACTCATCACTTTTCTGTCTTCAACTAGAAATATATGATT